GTACTTCAGTTGTCGATGCCTCTGTAGTTGGTGCATCAGTAGTAGATGATTCTGTCGTTGGTGCATCAGTAGTAGATGATTCTGTTGTTGGTGCGTCGGTTGTGGATGGTTCTGTTGTTTGTATTTCAGTAGTTGATGCTGCTGTAGTTGGTTCATCAGTCGTAGAAGATTTGGTTGTTGGTACTTCAGTTGTCGATGCCTCTGTAGTTGGTGCATCAGTAGTAGATGGTTCTGTTGTTGGTGCATCAGTAGTAGATGACTCAGTAGTAGGTACATCAGTAGTAGATGATTCGGTTGTAGGTGCATCAGTAGTAGATGATTCTGTTGTTTGTACTTCAGTAGTTGATGCTGCTGTAGTCGGTTTATCAGTCGTAGAAGATTTGGTTGTTGGTACTTCAGTTGTCGATGCCTCTGTAGTTGGTACATCGGTGGTAGATGATTCAGTGGTTGGTACATCAGTAGTAGATGATTCTGTTGTTGGTGCGTCGGTAGTGGATGGTTCTGTTGTTTGTATTTCAGTAGTTGATGCTGCTGTAGTTGGTTCATCAGTCGTAGAAGATTCGGTTGTTGGTACTTCAGTTGTCGATGCCTCGGTAGTTGGTACTTCAGTTGTCGATGCCTCCTGTCTCTTATACACATCTAGATGTGTATAAGAGACAGGTAGTAGATGACTCAGTAGTAGGTACATCAGTAGTAGATGATTCGGTTGTAGGTGCATCAGTAGTAGATGATTCTGTTGTTGGTGCGTCGGTAGTGGATGGTTCTGTTGTTTGTACTTCAGTAGTTGATGCTGCTGTTGTCGGTTTATCAGTCGTAGAAGATTCGGTTGTTGGTACTTCAGTTGTCGATGCCTCTGTAGTTGGTACATCAGTAGTAGATGATTCGGTTGTTGGTGCATCAGTAGTAGATGATCCTGTTGTTGGTGCGTCGGTAGTGGAAGGTTCTGTTGTTTGTTTTTCAGTAGTTGATGCTGCTGTAGTTGGTTCATCAGTCGTAGAAGATTC